CCCTATCCTGCCTTCACCTGCCCTCTCCTGCCTTCACCTGCCCTCTCCTGCCTTCACCTGCCGTATCCTCCCTTCACCTGCCCTATCCTGCCTTCACCTGCCCTCTCCTGCCTTCACCTGCCCTATCCTCCCTTCACCTGCCCTATCCTCCCTTCACCTGCCCTATCCTGCCTTCACCTGTCCTCTCCTGCCCTATCCTGCCTTCATCTGCCTTCACCTGCCCTCTCCTGCCATAACAAAGGAGACATATGGGGCAGCATTATGTAAAAGGCTCCTCAAATCAAATGGCTCGAACTGCAAGTGGCTCAAATTGCATTTTATTGGCTACAGGGATTATGTGTATTAATTTCTTTCAGTTTCAGATTTTTTCGCTCAGCAAGCCATCTGTTTAATTCAGTGAGCAGCAGTAATTAAAAAGCTCGCTCCCTAATAGATTGGGGCGTAAAGCCATTAACACGGCATACTGCTTTGTGCTTTCGTACCGTCGCTTAAATTTCATTTTTCTTCTCGTACCTTTCAGTCACCCATGCATTCAGATTCTGTGTAAAATATGAGTATATAACATAATGTGTGTAGAGCACAATGTAAAATGAGTCATTTCATTTGCTGAATAGATTTGTCAGATCCCTTTCCTACTTTCTGGTGCTCTGGGCGTTTTGTGTGGGTTTTTATTTCAAGTTATTTTCCACTGCTTTAAAAGCAGCAGCTTTTTGAGTATGTATTTTACATTTAATCCACTTACCTGCCCATCCAATGTAAATAAACATGATCAATTATCACAAATCATTTACAATTAGCCTTGTAATATAACATTAATGGATGGTATGGTAAGAACCTACAATACATGAAGTAACTGTAAGTAATGGCAGGTTTGGTATGAAAATACACCTCTGGGAGATGAAAAACTGTCTAAGAAGGTGACTGGGGATTGGCCGTTATGGAACTGAATGACTGGGGATTGGCTGTCAAGAGAACTTTCTGACTGGGGATTGGCCATTAAGGGAAATGACTGACTAAGGATTGGCCATTATGGGAACGGACTGACTGGTGATTGGATGTTATTGGAGGCTCCCCAAACACTTACACTGGCACTCATTGGCTGAATCAGCTGTGGCTCGAGCCCAAGGTCTGTCCTGGTAGAAAGGCTCACAATCCTGGCAATCCGTGCCCGTTGTATGATGCTCGCAGGCACACGCCACTTTCCCGTGCTCCCCTTGCATGCACTCACTGGCGTGACCGTTGCATTTACACCTGGTCCGACACAGGGAGAGAGCCTCTGTCATTCAGCTACATTCAGCTTCATTGCTCATGATCCCCAGCACTCTTTCAAAGAATAACCTCCTTGATACAGAGTGAGAGGGCAAAATTAGTTTAAATACTGACATTACATATATATATATATATATATATATATGCCCTTATCAAACTTAAAGGTTCAAGGATAATCGACACCAGATTTTCAGGTTCAGAAATATGACCTCTCACCCTATGACATATCAAGGTTTGCTACAGATCGATCACAGTAGAAACAAAAACATTTTTATAAATTAATAAATAATTATTATCAAATAATTTTCAAGACAGTATAAGGCATAGTGGCTTCCAGTGGTTTTCTCCTTGTGCAAAATAATTTCTCATTCACATACAGTAAGGTTTCTGCTTTTGAATACAAAATACAGAGGAGAAAGAAGTTTCTTGCAGGCTATTGGAAAAACACGAAGGAGTTGACAAGGACTGCAGCTGCTTGAGGGGCGCAGGCAGAGCGGAATAAAAAGTAAGTCAAAGTGCTTATCAAGATGCATCTGGGGAGGAAAATGTTTAAAAGGATCTTGGTTCGGGAGCAAAATACAGTGCATATGAAAAACAAGCGGGCTGAATAATTCTTGTGTGTAAATGTTCCTGTTAGTGAGGCTGGATAGATATTTGTGTAATTATTTTACTGTATGTATCTTTTTCCCCTGGATATCTGAAATTCTGAAATTAAAGGCAGCTATTATTTGAATAACATTTCTCATTGGGAAGAAGCAGGCTGAATTCTACTTTTTTGTTAAATTTTTTTAAAGCAGAACTTGCCCGCACTTGATGCACCAGTGGCCAGTGTTTGAGAGGCGGCAGAGGGGTGTGGGAATGAGCTCTGTGGTTTCACCTTTAGGGCTGGGGGTTTGAATCCCGCTTCGCTTCACCCTAAAAAATGTGGGTTTCTGGGATTCTCTAGTTTCCTTCAGTGGTGCAGTGAACTCACATTTCCAGATTGCTGTAGTGTATGTATGTGTGTGTTTACTGTGATAGACTAGTTTCCCATCCATGATTCACCCCTGCTGCCTCGGATAAGGGCTACTGTATCCTAGAAGTATCCTGGAATTCCTAACCTAATCTACATAAATTACACAAAGATTATTAACGTAACGTATTAATTAACGTATTAACAAACAATCTGACCTGTAAAGCAAAAGTGCACAAGTAACTCAAGGAAACTTCGGGCAAAGAGCACCTGCCCTGACTGCTTTACCTGGCACCCACGGAGAAATCGGAGATGGCGTAGTAGTAGGAACGGAGGACCTTCGAGTCTTTGAAGAATTCATCCCCGAAGGTATTGAGCCTGTCCAGCGAGATGAGGAGATCCGTGGCTGTGACCCACTCCTGGAGCATTGAAAGGGGGGGTGGGAGGTGTTAATGGTGCAGGAGGACTTGCACAGGCCAAGCTGGCAAAGCATTCTCACCTTTAATTTAGAAGATATGCGTACAACAAAAGTGTAGACAGTAACAGAAGAGAAGCATGCTGTTGCATGGCTTTCTGTATGTCTCCCAGGGCTCTCAGATGTGACAAAAGGAGGTTAAGACTATTGGCTGAAAGAAATTAAATGTAACGGAAACTATACAACACATTATTCTCTAGTGAAATACAAATACAAATGTGCTGAGCGGTCACGCAAATATGAATAATGCACACAGTAGGAAGGCAACACTACAGTCAATTCTGGTGTCACCATTTTAAAGACTTTACACTGGGGACCTAATTGTGGTTTAACACATCTGCTGAAATGGGGTGAAAAATCCGGAGAATAAGGAGAATGTAAGTGATGCAATCAAAAAGCAGGATAAGTCCTGTAATACAAATACGGGAGAGAGACAGGGATTCTGGGAAAGAGTCCTCATCCTGAAGTGATGAAAATTGATTAGCTTTGTTAATTGACTGACAACTTTTTTGACTCACTGTCCAGCACGGTCACGCTGCTTTGAACTCCGCAGACCCCAAACACATGCTGTGAGGGTGAAGCTTCTTTATAAATGCCTTGTGTAGCTCATGCATTATACTGATGCAGAAGTTTAATTGCATACTCATTCCTAATTTTGTGGTTTTGAGTGAATTTATAAGATTCAGCACAAATTGCGTGGACATCTGGGCTTATGGGTGTAAGACACATATTCTACTTCCAAGTGTACTGGAAAATAATTAAGCTTCTCTACCCCCTGGTACCAACAAGGACAGAGTGCAATAAACTTTAGAGTCCTTTCGAAATCCAAACTATGCCCGGTACACCCACCAGTAAAGAAAAAATCAAAGGCCTTTGCATGAATCATAATGACAAATGAATGCGGTGCTTCAAGTGGAGAGTTTTTATTGGTCTCTCTCTGAAAGATTCACTGCTGCCACCTTCTTGAGATTCATGGCAGCGATAATGGCTCCGGCCATGTGATCAGTAATCTGCCCCTTACAAATCAAATAGGAGCGTTCCAGCAGCCAGTAATGAAACGTTATAGACAGAATGATCACAGTGCCATCTCTGCAGAATATTTATCAAGAACACTGCTGAGCTGCTGGCGGTTATATAGAAATGTAGCCCAAGGATAATTTGTGTCTCCCCCTTGAGATTATTGATGAGGGTCTGCTTCCTAAAAATCTGATGTCTTACTGATTGACTTCTTTTTGCACCCTATTCTGTGAACTAATTTTATTCCAATGAGCCATTAGAAGTAAAGTAGGCTGTGCTGCAGACTTGCCTAATGGGAAATCATAAATATCCTCTAGTATTCCAATGTACTGAATGTTACAATATAATTAGGTAATAAAAGCTACAGATCTACTTTAAAACTTCCATCTTACTGACATATTGTTGACTATGTTTCTCCAGGACAGCTTTCGGTCAAACAACCAAGAGATGTCCCAGGCATCTACAAAGGAATTCTACAAAGGAATACATAACCTGTATTATTTCTTGACTATTTACAGTTGCACTTGGGCTTTAATGGAAACACAATAGATGTTTCATACAACATATTATTGAAATTCAACTTACAACCCAGCCTGGCTACACAGTCAACTTAAAAACACTGAAATGTCATTATGGTTGTTCACAGTGCTTGGTTTGAGTAACCTTTTAGCACTTGGCTGACTAAATAGGAAGCTTAGGAGAAACTCCATGCCATGTAATAGCAACAAATTTATTTTGTTGATGGTTCATAAATCATGTCGCTTTGGGAATATTTTCCTACTTTTCTGATTTCTAGTCATGGCTCATTAGTTAGCTTAATTACGGTAAGTTCCCTAAGTTAACTTTTTGAGAACTTAATTAGTTTAGTGAAATGGCATTCGCACAATTTAAAAATTTTTTACTTCATCAGCAGATGCATTTAAATCATCTTTGCACACTTTGTACGCTTCTGACAGCACATTATGCCCTGCATTTAAACAGGCTCAAGTAAATCCACAGTTTAAATAGCCAACATTCAATCCATTAACAGCTGAAAACTACAGAGCAGTTTCCTGTCTTTAACATTTTAGGCTGTCAGTTCCCCCAGATCCTTCTAGAAGTACTTGCAGCCTTGGAAACAGTGATCCATAACATTCTCCTGTATACTTCCTCTCACATCATCACAGGGATCATTCTGAAATTGCCCTACCTCTCTGCCGCAAAGCTAGGTGCCCATGGGGGCAGAGATGTCTAAGCCACAAATGGGTTTTCCTACCAAAACATGGCTGTTGCTATCCAAATATACCCGAGCGTTCTTCAAGAGGAAATCACAGTCTCTGCATTTCCACATGCCTCACAGACATCACAGCCTCCATGAGTGAATGCCACCTACCAATCAACCTTTTAAAGCTCAATTCTTCAACATGACATTACTGTCCGGCTTGGATCATAGTCATTATCCTTGTCGAGGTTTCCTAGGAGCTTAGGAATAACGATAATTGAACAGCTAACCTTAACAGCATTGCCGATATCACCAGATCAAGTAGGATCACTTTTTTTTTATTTTGAGGAAAATCCTACCTGTCAAAATCCAGGCACCTGTCATCTCAAGACTAGATGACAGTCGGCCCACAGCTTCCATAAGGCACTGGTACCAAAATCGATGGATGCTCAAGTCCCTTTATATGAATTGGTGTAGTATTTACATACAGCCTTCACGCTTTATATATACTTCAAATCATCTCTAGATTACTTATAATACCTTATACCAATGCAAATAACAAGGGAAAATACAGCAGCCAATGCCTGAATGACTTTTCCCATCCACGGTTGATTGAATCTGCAAATGTAGAACCCGCAGATACGGAACCCACAGATATGAAGTGCTGACTGTACTGTAAATGGTAGGGACACCAGCATGTATGTACATCGCACCTTCTCTTTTCCATTGGTCCCCTAGAGCTGCATAAAGTTCAGGACTTATCTTCCGTCCCACCCTTTTACAATCAGCAGGTGCACACTGTCCGTGATTTCACCACTATGTGGAAGTCAGTCTTATGCTAGTTGTTTTACATGCATGAAACCTGGAGGGTGGAGTGATTTGGCAAACAATATACGGTGTCAAGTCCCTCACAGCCTTCAAAAACTGCCGAAGACTCATCTCTTTCAGGAATGTCTCAACCTTTGTCCCCAAACTAACCCTACTGTTAACCAGCTCACTGTCCACTATTGACTTGTTCTCTTTTAGTGACTTACTTGACACTACTGGATGATCTTTTTTGTATATTATGTTTAGACTTTGTCTCTTAACATTCTCTAGATGCCTGTTTCTCAACCCGGTCCTCGGGGAACCCCCAGAAAGTCCATGTTTTTACTCCCTCCTAGTGTATGATGAATTATCCCTGTGTGCCCAAAGCATTTCTTTCATGGTTGAATAAGAGGAAGTTGATGGTGTCCTCTACCAAATTGGCCTTGATATGTATATATTTGTCCTGTGATGGACTAGTTCTGTCCAGGGCATGCCCAGTGCTTCCTGGGATAGGTCGTAGACCTGCTGTGAACCTGTATAGGAGAAGCAGTTCTGGAAAATTGATGCATAGTTCAAGATCATGTCATGTAGTCTGGTACATGCATAAATCATGAAGTTCTTTTTATGCAAAGTAAGGTTGCCCTGAGCCAATGCAGTGATTGCCAGAGCCACGTGTTCATTACGGAGCAGTTTGATTTCTGCAGCGACAGCATGCCCTGACTAATACACTCCTCTTCCATGATGAAGGCACGGTGTGCACTTCCTCTCTTCAGTGGTAACATCTCATCTCAGACGGAGGGTCCCTCCTTGAGACTCCAAAACGAGTCTCTTATTATGGCTTATTAATTTGATTGTTGAACTTCATCATGCCCTCGGTTTCCCTCATTTTCATTCAGGGCTAGAAATCTAATTTAAAACACAGCTTTCCTGCTTCAGCTAAAATAAGAGCGAGCTGAACCATTTTAATGGATGACTGAACAAATTCAATTTGGATTCATAAAATGGTTGTCATTATCTTTTGATAAAAAATGTTTTACAAACTGCAAAAAATTATGTCCTTCAAAAGGAAGCTTCTTATGCATTACTATCATATTTCTTTAGAATGATCATAAGCAAAATTATAGGCATCAATCAAATTACAGATTTATTAAATATGGAAGATGCTCATAGCTATCAAACTTTCAATCTGGAAATTACGTAATTAGTAATCAGTTTTGTGATCTGAAACTCATCTGGACTTTTCATTGTTTCAATCAATCACTTTGTATAGGGATCCCATCAAAAATGCTGACGATAGATTTATTGTTATCCTATTTTTTCTTCTTTTGTATTTCAAGGCTTTGGCATGAATTCTTCTACAGAACTTAGACATAGCAAAATGTCTCTTTGGTGGTGCCATACTAATTGAATTTGTCATTTTTGCTTGCAAACTTACAAACTTTTGGCAAGAGATACGCCACTTAAATACAGTCTATAAAAATATCAGTGATCAAAATTTCAGCTTTCAGTCCTCAAACATCATGTTGGACATACTGGAATATTCATAACGTCTGCACGACAATTTGGCTCCCACATTATCATTTGCATATCTGGCCTAGTTAATGGAAAATGCTCAACCTGTATTTCCGAAGCATATGGATTTAGCTATGCTAGCTAGTTCACCTTAGACCGTGGGTTCTTTTTAATGAAGGACTTCTCAGTGTGCTCGTAGCTTCTGGGATAGACTCTGGGCCCCCTACAACCCTGAATAGGACAAGTGAGTACAGAGAGTGGATGGATGGATAGATGGATGGACTTCACAATGGTGATGCAGTATATAAAAACTCAACTTCTGGTTCCTAGATGTCATGATGAAATCATTGTAGAGGTAGTTAAGTTGCAACACATGGCAGTCCAGATACGAAATATATCCATTTTGG